TCAATGTCATAATAACAATGATTTCTGGAATACCTCCTCAAAGACCTGCCTGAGGCTGACTTGTCCTCAAGTCACTTTATTGTAAGCAAAAGGAGTACATCATAAAATAGCAGCAAAAATGTTTGGATAACACAGTAAACACATTAGGTAGTAACATGGTGGCATTATAAAGTACTAGTTTCCACTTGGAACTGTACATGTCATACTTCCATAAGACTGGAAGCCCAGGGCTTGATCCCACCATCACTATAAGCATGATTAAGGCATTGCACCATGATTTGTGATGACTGCAACTTCACTATGACAGGACCATTTATCATCTCAGTCATAACTACATGGTACCAGTATCTTACAGGTGGCTCATGGTTGATCCAAACATCATTATAGAAAGCAAGTGTGAGGTCACATACCTATAATCCCAGCACTTGGGAGACAGTTGTGGGAGCATCAGAAGTTCGGAACCATCCTTGACTAAATAGCAAACAGAGGGTCAGTCTGAGCTACATAAGACCTACTCTCAAAAAACCAAACAACTGCTCTTTTCCATGGCACCTCCTAGGCAGATGGTCATGTTGAGATGAAACTGAATATCTCCTTCCCAGCCACAGGAGAAGCTCATTGAAGTGGACTGTGAACAAGGGAGACTAGAGAGAAAAGCATGGAGCAGTTTGGGAATCCTCTTTGGATACCAAACTGAGTGTTCTTTACTTGCTTGCTGTAAAAGAAACGGGAAAGGATATCCCTGGACTGATAGACACTTTTGTTCTTGGCAGTTAGGAGCCACAAGAGTGAACAGAGTCTGCAAACTTTTCAATCTCTTTAAATAAGATGATTCCTATGGATATGTTGTTGGACTGTCCTTAAAGAATATGTTTTTTTCTCCACTTTGCCTCCTTAGCCACAAGGACTTCAGTGTCATCTGTTTGTGCCACAAACATACACACATAATTAAAAGTGAATAAATTAGGACTAGAGACATGGCTCAGTGGTTAAGAGCATTGACTGTTTTTCCAGAGGTCCTGAGTTCAATTCCCAGCAGCTGTGTGGTGGCTCATAAGCATCCATGAGATCTTCTGATGCACTCTTCTGGCCTCCAAGGATACACGCAGGCAGAATGCTGTATACATAACAAGTAAATAAATAAAAACTCACTGTCTTGGTGTTTTTCTTTGGGTGGAGCTTTTCTTCTCTGTGCTAGATGTTCAGTAGTGGCCTAGACAGAAGCTAATATACTTGTGAAGGGAAGCAATATTTTTCATTGCTGTTTTCTCACAATTCCAGTTCCTTCACTTCCAACTGGATATTCCTTGTCTATTTCAAGTTTTCTTTTTTAGATTTTATTCATTTTTATGTGTATGAATGCCTGAATGTTTGTCTATGCATCCACGTGCATGCAGTACCCACAAAGGCCTGAAGAGGGCATCCGATCTCGTGGGACTGAAGACACAGGTAGTTAAATGAAACCAAGTCCCCAGGAACAGCAGCCAGAAGATTGTTTTTTTTTGGGGGGGGGGGGCTGGAGAGATGGCTCAGAGGTTAAGAGCACTGGCTGCTCTTCCAGAGGATCTGAGTTCAATTCTCAGCAACCACATGGTAGGTCACAACCATCTGTAATGATTTGGTATACTCCTCTGGTCTGCAGGTACACATGCAGGCAGAACAAACACAGTATACATAATAAATAAATAAATAAATAAATCTTTTTTTAAAAAGAAAAAAAAAAAGATTGTATCTCTCCCGAGTTACTTAGTTGTATAAGTTGCTTGGGACACTTATTCACACCATACACACACAAAAAAAGTGGGATGGGGGCTGGGGAGGGACAAAGGGCTCAGACCGCCAGAGAGTGAAAACAGGAAGCTTGTGGGGTGATTCCCGCCAGAGGGAAGTTAATTGGGAGTCAGGGGAAACAAACCGGGAAAGTGCAAGGCAAAGCTGAGCAAGTGGCTAGGTAGAGAGCTTGCTGACATGTTCCATGCTTAGGTTCCACACGCCTGAACCAGAGGCAGAGAGACCTGCTAGGTGATAACCCTGCCCACCGACACCTTCCCTCTCCCTCTTATTTATTATTATTATTATTATTTTGTTTTTCCAGACAGGGTTTCTCTGTGGCTTTGGAGACTGTCCTGGAACTACCTCTTGTAGACCAGGCTGGTCTAGAACTACCAGAGATCCACCTGCCTCTGCCTCCTGAGTGCTGGGACTAAAGGCAGGCGCCACCATCGCCTGGCTCTCCCTCTTATTTTTAAATTATATTTGTTTATTCGTGTGTGTGTGTGTGTGTGTGTGTGTGTGTGTGTGTATACATGTCACAGCATACAAATAGAAGTGAGAAGACAGCTATGAGAAATTAGTTTCTTCTTCTATCATGTGCATCCCTGGAATCAAACTCAGATTATAAAGCTTAGAGGTAATAAATAAAGAAATATTTTGGCTTTTGGTTTTGGTTTTTTGGAGACAGAGCTTCTCTGTGTAGCTTTGGAGAATTTCCTGGAATTCACTCTGTTCACAAGGCTGGCCTCAAACTCATTCAGAGACCTGCCTGCCTCTGCTTCCCAATTGCTGGAATAAAAGGTGTGTGCCACTATTACCTGGCCAATACAGGTTTTAAAATAATTTAAAATTAAAAGGCAAAAGAGTAATGTTTTTCTTCCATAGCAGATAGTAAAAAGGGAGAATTTTAAAAAAAAACTACCTGTATTTACTTATGTACCACAATAAACATGGTATAATACAGGTATGTACCACCATAAATTCATGTGATGGCAGTACAACTTACAGGAGTTGGTCACATGTATAAAATTGAAGGTATTAGGCTTGGCAACAAGTACCTTAACCCAAAGGAAGAATTTATTACTATTGTTTGTTTGTTTATTTGTTTGTTTGAGTGTGTAACTCACACTATTTTAGAATTCACTACATAGACTTGGCTGGCCTCAAACTCACAGAGATCTGACTACTCCTGCCTCGCAAGCGCTAGGATAAAATGTGTGCATCACCATGCCCAGCTTCAAAAGTAGAATGCTTTATGAAAAGGGGGAGCCAGAATCTAGTGTGCTTATTAAAAAGCCAATCCCTTGGAGTAGGAGCTGTTCTAGACTTTCGGAGATCAATAAAATCATTGGGCACTTAAACTGATCTCTGTATACATTTCAAATAAGATTAACTTAATGACAAGGGCTTCTAGGAACACACACCAGAAGTGTAGACCAATGTCCTAGCCTGCCTGATGGCCTTACCATGTCCTTCCACTCACAGCCACCTGTGAAATGGTCTCACACACACACACACACACACACACACACACACACACTACAGCAGGCTTTCAAAAACTCATCTTCAGGACAGAGACTCTTGAATTTCACTCATTTGTTCAATTAGGACATGTTTAGCCAGGTGTAGTTGTGCACTGCATGCCTGTGTCTAGCACTCAAATGGCAGAGACAGAATGATCAATACAAGTGACAGTTCAGCCTGGCCTACACAGTGAACTCCAGGCCAGCCAGGACGATAAAAACAACAACCTAAACCAATCAAAAAAAAAGTACCTCTCTCGAAGTGGGTGGTGGTGGTGCACCTTTAATCCCAGCACTCAGGACACAGAGAAACCCGGTCTGGAAAAACCAAAAGAGAAAGAAAGGGAGGGAGGGAGAGAGAGAGAGAATAATAAAGTGCACATGGTCATGTCGTGGTCGTGTCGTGTTCGTGCTTAGGAGATTTAGGCATGAAAAAGACAGCCTCAGCTACCCAGCAAATTAAAGATTAGCACTCTAAGCAAAAAAAAACCAAACAAACAAACAAACAAACACACAAACAAAACTCTACTCTCAACTCTTGGGAGAGGGAATTTGAATTTCACAAGTTAGAGACTAGCCTGGTCTTTGCGTTAAATAAGGAGACCCAACTCAACAAACAAAATAGCAGCAAAGAACGAAGTAGGAATTATCCACATCTCTCCAATCTGTACTCCTCTTTAATCTCTTTTTCTTTTTTTTTTTTAATATTTTTTTTTTTATTTCATGTATGTGTATTGGTGTTTTAGCTGTAAGTAAGTCAGTGTGAGGGTGTCAGATTCCCTGGAACTGGCTGTGGCTCTGTGGGAGACTGATTCCTATGCCTAAACAAGGCTCTCCATGAGCACCATCACCATAAAAACAAAACGAGCCCCCTGTGGTTTACAGAAAAGAAATTCACAAGGAAGGAGAAATGGGTTGTTTGCCCCAAATCCAGGACTCTAATTTCATTTGCTAATTAGGCAGCCTGCTCACACAGCTTGTTCGGAATTCTTTCGGATCTCCACTTTCTCTAGCAGACTTATGGCTGTTCCTCCCTACCACTTTCTTTTTTCTTTTTCGAGACAAGGTCTCACTATGTAGACCAAGCTGGCCAGGAGCTCAGAAAGATCCTCCTGCCTCAGCCCGAGGAGCGCCACCCACAACACTTGTTTCCCAGGAGCAGGGTGTGGCAGTTCACGCCTCTAAATCGCACCATTCTATGGCTGGGATTTTAGCTCATCTGGGTTACAAGAGTTCCAGGCCTGGGAAGCAATAAAACCCTGCCTCCAAAACAAAACAAAAACAAACCAAAAAAAGAAAAAAGAAAAGAAAAGAAAAAGAAAACAGGTAAAAGCCCAATAATCGAACGAAGCATATAGTAGTACTATTGACTTAAATAATCAGCCACAGCCAGAGTTTAGCACCACTAATTGTTGTTGGGTGGGATCACGAGGTAGGGGAGCGGAAGACAGAATCAAGGCAACAGGAAGTAGGAGGAGATTTCTGAAAGCCCACTGAGGCCAGAGGTCATTTGGAAGCTGGAAGAATTTTCTTTCGGTAGTTTCGTCTGATTTGAAGATGGAGCATGCTGGGAGCAAGGAGGTAAAAGCTGTTTTTGTTTTGCTTTGTTTGTGGCTCGGCTTTCCAAATTGGTGGCTCTCGTGCCTCTTTGCTGAGCACACTCGGCCTTTGTTTGGGGGAAGAACCATCATTACAGTTTGTTCCATGCAGGTGCGGGGCTCTCTCACAGCCTCAGACCAGACGCCCCCGGGCCAGGCTGCAGTAGGTTCTGTTTTGTAAGGGATGTTTTGCTGGGAAGAGATTTAGAATACTGTGGCTGGAGGGAAGTGGTCACAGGATAAAGTGGGAAGGTAAGATGACCTGGGGTTTTTGGATAGCGGTCTACCTCAGAAGGAGCAAGAGCCACTAATTACCCGTTGAGAGCCAGAGGCCTTAAACCCACAAATGCTTCCTGAAGGGTTCCAGGCTGCTTATCCAGGGTCCACAGTTAAGGAATTTCGGGAAGGCAGACCGGAGTAGCAAACCTTACTGGTTCCTAATTGCAGGAGCCACACTCCCGAGAGCGCTCCAGGTCTCCTTCCCAAGATCCCGGCATTTCTAACTTTTTGAGTGTAAAATTTTGTTGGGTCCAAAACTGAATTGTTTGTGAAAAAATATGCAAATGTAAATCTCGACTGTCAGTGTGAAGCTAGTTCCCGTTGAGATGTAAAACAACATACAAATGTTAATTTGTCTTAGTTGAGCTTTTGGGAGTGGAGGTGGGGCTTGGAAAGGCCTTAGATTTGGGAGCGAACTGACCAGGCATTGCTTTTATTCATTTATTTACTTAATTACCTGGGTTTTTGAGACAAGGTTTGCGTGTGTAACTACCCTGGCTGCCCTGGAACTCACTCTAGCCTCGTATTCACCAAGATCTGCCTGCATCCTGATCTGCATCCTGGGTGCTGGGATTAAAGGTGTGCCTCACTGCCACCCAGTTTATTTATAAAATAAATTTCTTTTACAACGCAGCGGTAGTGTCCCCTTCCTCCTCTCCTGCTAGCCCCGCCCGCAACCCTGCCCCTTCCCTTTCAGTTTAGGAAAGGGCAGGTCTCCCATGAGTGTCAACAAAACATGGCCTGTCAAGTTGCAGTAAGACTAAACACCTCCCCGTGTATTAAGGCTGAGCAAGGTGAGCCAGTATAGAGAGTAGGGTCCCAAACGCCTGTAAAAAAAAAAAAGTCTGAGATAGCCCCTGTCCCCATTGTTAAGGGGCGCCCAAAAGGACCAAGCTACCCAACTGTGTAACATGTATGCAGGGTGCCTGGGTCAGTCCTAAGCAGGCTCCATGGTTGTCGATTCTCCTATGAGTCCGGGTTCATTGATTCTGTGAGTTTTCTTGTGGTATCTTGACCCCTCTGTCTTCTATAATCTTTCCTCCCCATGTTCTGCAGGATTCTCAGAATTGTTTATGTTTGGATGTGGCTCTGCATCAGTTTCCATCAGATGCTGGTTAAAGGTTCTCCAACAATTGGGCTAGGAACCAGTCTATGAATATAGCAGAATATCATTAGGCATCATTACATTGGCATTTCCCCCTGTAGTCACGTTTGATTCTATCCTAGGTCTCTGGGTCATCCAGCCTGTGGGTTCTAGGGTTGCAGGCAGTGTTGGGTGGGCTCATTTGCCTGCCATGGGTTTTAGGTAGCCCGGCAAGAGACCCCACTCTTGTGGAATTCTCACAGAAGGGACCTCATGGAAAGCTGCAGTGGAAATGAGGGCAGTATGTAGTTGATTGGCTGCAAAGAGATTCCAGCAAAATAACACTTGAACTGAGCCTGAGGGAGTAAGGTATAAGAATTGAAGTAGACCTTCTGGGCTTAGAAGCAAGGTCTGAGGAAGAACAATCTTTGGGGTGAAAGATAAAATGGAGGAAGATTGCGGGCTTCCTTCCCCAAAAGCAGACTGGCTCTTTATTGTCTTTGACACTTTCTCCCTTTTGCCTTTGTTTGTATCTCACCTATCTCATCTTGTACTTTTGGTTTTGTTCTATAGCCTCAAGTTGGCCTGAGGCTCATTATGGCTTCTAACTCCCCTGGTGATCCGCCATTTGCTGCCCAAGGCTAAGGTTACAACTATAACAACTTTTTCCTTTTCTTAAAAAGAGCCTCACAGGGCATGGGGTGGTGGCTCAGGACTTTAATCCCAGCACTCAGAAGGCAGAGGCAGTCAGATCTCTGTGAGTTCCAGGCCATCCTCAAGAGGGTGAGTTCGAGGACAGCCAAGGCTGTTACACAGAAAATCCCTGCCTGCCTTGAAGAAGAAGAAGAAGAAAATCTCCCTAGTGCTAGGGTTAAAATTGTGTTGCCAACAATCCTATTTTTCCAGCAGGCTCCCTCTCATTTCCCCTAGCCATTGCTTCCTATTTCATTAAGTCAGACTGCTTATTCAAATGATGGCCCCTTGGAATTCACACTGGCAGTCATATAGAGTGACCTCGTGGGGACTGTAGATGTGAGTTAGTTTAGAGCAAGGAAGGGGATATGCTGGCTCAGGACATCAGATAACTGTCTAACTCCTTTCTCCACAGTGTAGCAGCACAGAAGCCTCTGAGGAGGAATGCCTGACATTTAGTCAACCAAGCACATCCGTTGCAAAGTCTCCAACACCGGGAAAGAGACAGAAAAAGACAGTAAAAGAGAATGGTAAGAGTCCTCCAGTGCTTAGTCCTACGTCTTTTTGTCTAAGCAACTTAAGAAATCTTCCTTCAGTATGTAAAAAGGATGAAAAATGCCTGCACCGCCTAGCTCTGTACTCCTGAGGTCTAACGAGTCTCAGCTCTATTTTAAAAGGAAAGAAGGGATGGAGCTGGAGAGATGGCTCAGAGATTAAGAGCACTGGCTGCTCTTCCAGAGGTCCTGAGTTCAATTCCCAACACCCACATGGTGGCTCACAACCAACCATCTGTAATGAGATTTGTCATTGTATTATAAAAAAATAAATTTTAAGGAATTTCCCACCTGCTGCCAAGATAATCCTCTCCATCATTAATTCCCATAACATAGATGACTCCTGACAGTCATTTTGCTTGGGGGCTAATAGACAGTGGTTGGGTCCATTGTACATGCTATCCTAAAACAGTGAGGATAGACCTAATCTTTTGTGGGGTAGAGAGGTTGGTAGTGATCTCTGTATAAATAAACTCTAATGATGCATGTTGTCAGTACAGTCTGTCCTTGATGTGTGTGTTCAGTTACAGAACTGTAACTGAAACACAGCAGCTGGAGTGCCACTGTGGTCAGGGCTCCTGTGGTAAAAGGACAGGGCAGCACTCAACAGGGAGTAACAACCTCAGATCTAGTCAGTCAGTTCCCTGGGAGAGAATGGTAACCAAATAACTGCATTCCTTCCTGGAAGGGCCCTCGGAGGAGCGAGCCATGTACATTTGCTTAGGCTTAGCAAAGAACACTGGGATTCGAAAGTCCAGGCATTGAGGTCTGTCCCCTGTAGTCTGTATGACCTTTGGGTCATTTTAAACATGCATGTTTTGGAGATTAGTACATACATAAAGAACCAAAAGGGATTGTGTGCTTCATTCAAATTCTTGTAGCTGCACAAAAAATTGTTACCAACTGTTGTTATTCCCTTTGTCCCTCAGGTTGTAAACCAAAGGAGAAAGCAGGAGATGCTGAGGCGCCAAAGCCCACTCGCAGGAAGGTACCAATTCCTCCTCTACCAGCTCATCTGCCCCCAGTGAACATGATTCACCGAGATGTTTTGCGGGCATGGTGCCAGGAGATGAAGCTGAGCAGCAAAGGCCAGGTGGGGGCCCTGCGGGGGCCTCTTGCAGAGTGGGAGAGTGGAACCAAACTTTTCACTAACAACTCTTTTTTGTTGTTGTTGTTGTTGTCTGTTTCTTTGTTTTTGTTGTTTTTTGTCTCAGAAATTAGATGCTTATAAACGACTCCTTGCAAGGGCTTTTCCAGATCAAATGGTAACTATTTATTTATTGAGACTGTTTAGTATTTAGCACAGGCTACCTTGGCAGTCTGTATGTAGAACAAAGTGGCTTCAAAGTCAAGGTCTGCCAGTCTCCCATTGGTCAGATTTTAGACATGCACTGCCATCCGTGCCCGACATGTAACCTTTGCTTCAACAATGGCAGAAAGGTTTGGTTCTTTCATTAACTGTCTTCCCTCATCAGGGACTAAGTTGAAGAACTGTCATCGCCCCTTCTTCCCCTTCTACCCCAATTTGAAGAAAGAACACAAAGTAATAAAACTAAGCAAGGTCCTTCCTTTTCATTTTTGGAGGTAGAAAATAAATCTAGACTTTTAATGCCTGTTCTACCACTGTGGTGTACCCCAGTCCCTACCATGTCCCCTCCTTTTTCTTTTTGATTTTTCGAGACAGATTTTCTCTGTATTGCTTTGGAGCCTGTCCTGGAACTAGCTCTTGTAGACCAGACTGGCCTAACTCAGAGCTTGCCTTGCCTCTGCCTCCCAAGAGCTGGGATTAAAGGTGTGCATCATCAATGGGCAACTAATTTTCATGACTTTTGAGTTAGGTTTTCCCTGTGTAGTCCTTGCTGGTCTGAAACTTGCAGTAGCAAGCAACCTCCTGCCTCTGCATACTAAGTGCCCAGCTTGCATTTTGATCTTGATACTGGCATTCTTTATTTTGCCTAGGCTAGTCTCACATTACCAAGGGAATGTGATACCTTCGCCTGCTGATTAGCGGAGACCACAGGCACGCCACACTGGGCTCTGCTGGAGAATGCTTAGAATCTGTTAGCAAGTATAGTGTATTCTTGCTAACTCTAGTCACCCACGGCCTGGGTCTTCTTTAGTTATGTGCATTGAACCCAGGGCCTAGCACCTGCTACACGTGTGTTCTGCTACTGAGCAGCTTCTCCAGCTTTGCCCCCCGATCTACCTGAATCTGTGCCATCGCCAATGCCTCCCTTACACAAAGCCACATTCTGGTCACCTTTTAACTTTTGTCTTATTTATTTAAGCATGTGAGCCTTTTGCCTGCATGTTTGTTTTTGCACCACGTGAGCTTCTCAAGACAGAAGAGGGCATGGAATCTCTGGAGCTAGATGAGCCGCCACCATCTCTCCAGTCCCTTTTCTCCTATAATGTATGTGTGAGTGCCACAGTGAGCTTATGGAGGTATCGGTTCTTGCCTTTTTGTTTTAAGTCAGTTTGCTAATGGATAGGATAGACTAACTGACCAGAGAGTCTCCTGTTCCACCTCCCATTCTGCTATAGGAGCATTCATTGGAATAGAATTAAAGATGTGAGCCACTTCATATGCCTTCTTATATGGAGATTGAGTCCAATTCAAGTCTTCTCATAGTTTTTCACCCCCTGAACTGTCTTAACCAGCTCTTAATAGTTATTTCCTGTTATTATCTGTAACATCCTAGCACGATTTAAAGAATGTCCCTGACACACCAAAAGAGGCCAGGGTGAAGATGCTTCGGAAAAAAATGAAGACAGAGGAGGCGGAAGTGCCTTGTCCTCAGGTGACAGTTCCTCTGGAAGTGGTCCCTGTACCTGAGGATCAGGTACCTGCCCTTACTGAGCCTCCTGTCCTCTATGAAGAAGTCAGCACCACCGTTGTGACAACAACTGCCTCTGAGGCAATGTTGGCATCTTGGTCCAAAATCGTAGCCGTGGCTAATAATCATACTACCAATAAGGCGATGAAGAAGGAGGAGACAGTGCAGTCCAGTGCAACAGCAGAGACCTGTGGTAAGTCGTATTAGAATCAGTCACCACCACCTGGATTCCTGGACCACACCTATCTTGTTACTTCTTGAGTCCCCTCTGGTCTAGCTAGCTAGTATCCCTTTGGTTTGCTGAAATAAGGATCTTTAAAAACCTGGGGTGGCCTCTGTTTGCCCTTAGCTTCCCACATGCTGAGATCGGTGGTGTTCACCACCACCCTTGTCTCCAGCTGAGAGTCTGCATTTTCAACAGCTAGCAAAAAGCCATGTGCGTTCTGGTTGTTTCTTCCCCTTTCATTAAATAACTCTCTGGGATTGAGGCTGGGGTCTTTTAGCATCTGTTAAGTAGGTGACACTAATTATCTCCAGTTTCTCATAAAACTCAGAAAGACTGTCCACTTTAGGGTTTCTATTGCTGTGATGAAACACCATGACCAAAAGCAAGTTGAAGGAGAAAGGGTTTATTTGGCTTACACTTCAGCTTTGCTGTTCATCACTGAAGGAAGTCAGGACAGGAACTCAAACAGGGCTGGATCCCAGAGGCAGGGACTGATGCAGAGGCCATGGAGGAGTGCTGCTTCTGGCTTGCTCTTCAAGTGGGTTTGTTTTCAGCCCGCCTTCCAGAACTCAGGACCAACAGCCCAGGCATGGCACTGCCCACCATGGGCTGCGCCCTCCCCAGTTGGGCCTTCCTCAGCCTTCCTCAGCCAAGTCTCCTTCTCATGACTCTACCTATGTCAAGTTACCACACAAAAACAACCAACATAAGATAATATCACAAGCCTGTGAACCCCTCACCTGAGTAGGAGGACCAGGAGTTTGAAGTCAACCTGGTCTACCTAAGACTTAAAGTAATAGAGCGCTCATGTTGTAAGAATAACAGAAAATTCAGTGAAGGAAAAATCATGCTTAGTGTGATGTAGTAGGCGTCCAGGTCTTAGTCCAGGGCTGGAAGAAGGCTCCAAGGTTGAGAGCACTTGCTCTTGTAGAGGACTCAGCCTCAGCTCTTGTTGACAGAAGCAGATAGATATCTTTAACATCTAGGCCTGCCAGGGTTGCACATTGCCACCCTACTACAAAAGATTGACGCCCCTAGACTTAGTTCATAAAAAAAAAAAAAAAAAAAGCCTTTGGTTATCTGGGAGTTCTTGCATGCTTTTGTAGTAGGAAACAAGATGGACTGAGATAAAGGTTGGATTCTCAGTCTTATTTCAGAGCTGATATGTCCTAGGGTCATTAAGTACACTAGAAGGCTGTGCGCAGTCTCGTGCCCAAGTATGTGACTTGAATCTCTTAGCTTCCACAGGGGAATTGTGGTGTGTGGTTCACGGGAGAAGCTTTCCTGCCAACACAAATGGCTGGGTTCGGCTGCAGTTCCATGCTGGACAAGCCTGGGTACCTGAGAAGAAAGGGAAAGTGATTGCCCTCTTCCTGCTTCCTGCCTGCACCTTCCCACCCCCACACCTGGAGGACAACCTGCTGTGCCCCAAGTGTGTTCACAAGTGAGTGCTGTGTTCACACTGAAAGTGGGAGCTTGAATAAAGTTACAGGGGGGGGCGCGGCAATAATGCATTCATTGAACCAGCTGTGTTTTGAGTATTTCTTACTTTTCTCAGGTAAGTAACCTCCACAGCTCTGGGCGATTATGGGTCTGGTGCTTGCTGTGTTGATCACGCTGATCTTCAGCTTGGGATAATCAGTCTGTTTTGCCTCTGCTACCAGCTTTTGGTTGTGTTTTAGGATAAGGGCTCATTGTGCAGCCAGGCTAGGCAGACAGCTCAGTTCACAAAGGTGTCCACTGCTATGCCTTATGGTCTGAATTCTATTCCCAGGACTTGTGTGGTGGTAAGACTGAATCAGTTCACACATATTGTTCTCTGGTCATCACATGTGCATCATGGCATCTTCATATACAGGCACAGGAATTTAAAAGTTCTTTTCTTTCCCCTGTCTCATTAGAGTTGAGCCTTGAGTAGGTTTCATATCAGATGTTGAAAGAAACTGGTTCTTTGGGAAGGTTTCAGTCAGCTGTGAGCTGGGTGTGGTGGTGTACACCTGTCATTCTGTCATTCAGGAGGACTTTCCACAAATTCAAGGCCATCCTGGTGTACTTAGTCTTTGTCAAAAATCAACCATCTTTGCTTAGTCACAGTGAAGATCCCCCCCCCCCAAGACAGGGTTTCTCTGTGTAGCTTTGTAGATCAGACTGACCTCAGATGTTTGCTTTTGCTTTTGTTAAGACAAGATCAAACTGTAAAGACCAAAGATATCAGGGCCTCTCTCAGCCTCAGCCTGCATGAAAATGCAGTCATACAATTAGGCAATCTTCCTTCTTTGTCACGGTCAGAGGCCCTATTCACAATCTTTTGTTCTGTGGAACTAGGACTTGAAGGACATCCCTAGTGCAATTCAAAATTTTTATTTTGAGATTGGGTCTTACCCTAACTGGCCTGGAAGTCACAGAAATCTGTTTGCTTCTGGGCTCCCAAGTGCTAACCTGACCTAAAGTTTGGCGGGTGGTGTCTTTGGCGGGTGGTGTCTTTGGCTCTTCAGCATTAAGGGTTTTGGCTACTTTTGTTTACTTTTGAGGCAGAATTTCCTGGGACCCATGCTCATCTGGAACATAAGGCTGAAGCCACCTTGATGTTCCCATTTTCCTGTCTCAACTTTCTGATTTTGAGATTGGAATTATGGGTGTGCTCACAGGCTTGGTTTATTTGGGGCTGGACATCAAATAAACTCAGGTTTTCATGTGTGCATTACCAACCTGGTTTTAGTTTGTTTTTTGGTTTTTTGTTTTTGTTTTTGTTTTTTTGGTTTTTGTTTTTTGTTTTGTTTTGTTTTGTTTTTCAAGACAGGGTTTCTCTGTGGCTTTGAAGGCTATCCTGGAACTAGCTCTTGTAGACCAGGCTGGTCCAACCGAGTGCTGGGATTAAAGGCATATGCCACCAACCCCCGGCCTATCTTGTCTGTTTTAAGGGTTGAAATTCGGTGATTCATGGCCAGACACTGGTTGTGCCTTTAATCCCAGCACTAGGGAGGCAGAGGCAGGTGGATCTTTGTGAGCTCCAGACCAGCCTGGTCTACAGACCTAGTTCCAGGACAGCTAGAGCTGTGTGCCAAGAAACTGTGCCAAAAATAAGTAAATAATAAATAAAGTGGTGATTGATTCTTCCATGTTCTGGTTTATTATCTGGGTATAGCCTACCTGTAACCCAGCACTTGGGAAGTATATACAACAGTGACGGGGAATTTGGGATCAGCCTTGATCTTTCTCAGTGTGGGGGTAAGGTGTGGAGGGAGGAAATGATGAATGAATCCATGGATAAATTTGTTTTCTAGGAACAAGGTCTTAAATAGGAGTCTCCAGGGATAAAGGGAGGATCTCCGGTTTGGCTAGCTGCTGTCATGACCCATTCGTGTGGAGTGGTCTACAGAACCGCAGCCAAGACTGAGACAGATGGAAACCCACGTCTGTGCCTGTGAAGGCACCGGTATCACCCAGAAGCTATGGGACGTTGTTTGTTAGTTTTTGCTGTAGTACAAGCAGCCTGGGAAAAGAGCCAGTGCAGCCACCAAAATGCACGAGGTCCATCTCTGTTCATTATGATGACTGGACACTGGAAATGGTGGTACCTTCTGCTATGGTGTGAAGATAAGAAAGGTCCTATTGGTTTTGCTGCAAGGAGGACCTGGGGCAGGGATATGGCATCTCCAGATCTAGTACTTGCTTGTCCTGTCCCAGGCACAACGAGGTCATAGCCAGTTCTGTGGCTCCCTCTTAAAGTTCAGCTTGTGCCTGTAGCCACTGCATGCCCTCTTTCCTATGCTGTATTATGTTAGTGTGTAGTCCTTTGTTTTCTATTGTAAAATACATACCAGTTCTCGTTTTGTGACTTTTGGTTTTGGTTTCTTTTCTGTGTGATTGGTTACTATCCACTGTGCTCCAGGAGTGAAGGCAGTGAACACCACAACCACCCTTAGTGGACCCTTGTGCCAGGCATATACAGTCATTCCATAAAGGTTTTGAATGACCAAGGAAGTTGGCTGCTTGGCTGCCCTGGGGGATTAAGTGTAGGTTAGGGAAGAGGCTTTCTGTGAGATGTTTGGTTCTGTCCAGGTACCATCTATTGATGGACCTCTGTTGTTTGCACTTAATGACGTGATACACTCAAATGCCAGCACCCATTTCTGCTCCCTCTCTTGTCTGAAATGGACATGGAGCTAGAGTTATGCCTCAGATGAAGTCCACCACAGGGGGATGGCTGGTGGGCTGATGATGTTCATGGGGAGTCACGATGAGATTTACACCTCACTTTTACATGTTAGCGCCCAGCCATGAAGATAGGTCCCTTTCCACAAGTGTGTGTGGCATGCCTGTCTGTACATCCGAAGTAGGAATCCTGGTGCCCCCAGCTCTCCGTTTTCCCTTGGCTTCAAAAGGGCATGGAAAGTTCCAAGAGTAGGTGCCAAAGCCAAAGGATGTTTGCCATGAACAAAACCTGTGCCTTCCCTGACATTGAGGTGAATGTGTCTGAGATTCTCTAGTCAAGAGTAGTGGGGAATGGAAACAAGGTGTGACAAGTTTTTAAATTACACTTTAGTAAAATACCCAACATGCCAAGAAAATATTTGTATTTTGTAAGATGGAACTTTTTCATCAAAACTAAAGTGTGAACTAAGCCTGGATCTGAAATCCCAGCAGAAAGAAGGTAACGTGTGTCCAGAACCTGCCTTGGCTACATAGAGAGTCCAAGACCAACCTGGTGAATATGGTGAGACTGTCTCGGAGAAAAGGGCAGCAGTAACTCTTGTTAGAGCACTTAACATACATGAGACCCTGGATTCAATCCACAGTACCAGTAACTACCTAACTGCCCCCACCCCAATTCACTTTAAGCGTAGTGCTGCATTAGTAGGAATAAAAAATAAAAAAGTACAGCCTCCAAAGCCAGAGAAACTATAATAGGAAGTGCAGTTTTACTGATAATTGCTTTGCCAAAAAGGATTTTAGTAATTGTAACAGTGAGCTGTCACAACCCAGCTTGAAAGTTGTTTAATGATTTATTGCCCAGTTAGAAGGGTACTGGGAAGAGGGGCTCAGGTGAAGTGCTGTCCAGCATGCATGAAGCCCTGTGTTGGAGCTCAATAAATGGACTGCAGTGTCCCTCACCTGTAATCCCAGAACTAAGCAGGCAAAGGCAGGAGTATCAAGTTCAAAGTCATCCTCAGCATGGTTACATAGGATGTATATAAGGCAGAAGTGCTTTAAAATATTAATATTGAGCATCTGTTACCAAGACCTGAGTTTGTCACCTAAGACCCATTTGGTAGAAGGAAAGAACCAATTTTGAGGTTTTTTTCAGTGGCTACTTGCTAAGCATGCATTTAATCCCAGCATTGGGGGTGCAGAAGTAGGATAATTTCTGATTTTTAGGCCAGCCTGATCTACATGTCACATTCCAGGACAGCAAGGACTATTTACAGAAAACTTGTCTCCACAAAAATGATCTCTACATATATACTACAGTCCTTGAGAAATTTTTAAAATAAAAGCACTAATATTAGCAATTGGCTAACAGGGAGCACAAGTTACTTAGAGGTGTATCAACTAATACATTGGACTTTTTATTTGTTGTTGGAGGTGATAGAGACAGGGTCTCTCTTTGTAGCCCTGGCTGACCTAGAACCCAGTCTGTAGACCAGGCTGGGCTCAAACTCAGAGATATCTGCCTCTGCCTCCCGAGGTCTGGGACTAAAGGCTGTGCCTCTGCACCTGTGAGGATTTTTTAAGTTAGAAAAATACAGGATGTATGAAAACATCCACTGGTAATGAAGTCAGTTCATGACTATGAGTTTTTATAGGTCCTGTCATTCTGAGGAGAAGCTAGCGTTCTTTTTTTTTTTTTTTTTTTTTTTTTTTATTGTTTGTTTTGCTTTTTGAGAAAGTTTCTCTATGGTTTTGGAGGCTGTCCTGGAACTAGCTCTTGTAGACCAGGCTAGTCTGGAACTCAAAGAGATCTGCCTGCCTCTGCCTCCTGAGTGCCGGGATTAAAGGCGTGTGCCACCAACGCCCTGTGAAACTAGAGTTCTTAAACTGACCCTCAAGTCTTTCTTTCTACAGCCCTTGTCTCCAACATCCCCTCCAGCAGCCCCCACCCTGTATAACCTTATCTTTTGCATTTCCAGATGCCTTCTTCCAGAGGGCAACCTGATCAACTTCTTTCAGAGTACAGGCCTTGGAAATGGCTCAGTAGGAAAAGTGTTTTTATCAGGCAAACCTGATGATTATGACTGGAGTTCCAGTGGACACCTGGAGCCCAAAAATAGCAACACATCACACTTGTTTTTTTTCAAGCTATGTGCCTCTCACCAACCTTGCGGTTATACCTCTTGCCCTCAGGTTACTGGTTGACTTCTTCCTCTAGCCATGTAAAGATGACTTCCCAAAGAACAATCTTCTTCCTTTGAGATAAGGTCTGTAATCAGGGAGAGTGACCTTGAGGTCCTGATTCTCCTGCCTGCATCTCTGGCTGTTTTACTTGAAGCTTTGCCTTTTCCCATGATTCTAAGGATGGAATCCACAGCCCCAGCCCCTGTATGCAGGGCAAGCACTTTACTGCCCCCCCCCAGTCTCCTAGAACAGAGGTCTATTCTGTAATTGATGTTCAGTGATTTCCCCAGCACTGAATATAACTACAAAGGCTTGCTACTCCCTTCCAACAAACAAAATACCAGAGGATAAGAATTGTAAATTACACCAGGTGGTGGTGGCAGCATACGCCTTTAATCCCAGCATTCGGGAGGCAGAGGCAGGCAGATTTCTGTGAGTTTGAGCCCAGCCTGGTCTACAAGAGCTCCAAAACCACAGAGAAACCCTGGGGGGGGGGGGAATTGAGGACCCTGGCTTAAGAGCCAGATACCTAGAGTGTGGGTGTCCCTTCATCTGCTTGAGAGCCTGTCTTCCCCCAGACAAAGACATGTCAGCAAAGATAAGACTGAATAGGAGCCAACAGCAGAAGTTCAAATCCTATCTACCTCCAAATACAGGGGCTATATACTAGGAGTAGATCACCACAACCAGTTTATTTAGTGTTGTGGCTTGGAACCAGGGTTTCATACGTGTTACATGAACACTGCCCTCAGAGGTACATCACTAGCCTTCTAGCAATTTGTTTTTTTGTTCTCTTACTCCTCTGTGTAGCCCTGACTATCCTGGAACTCTTCCTCTCTAGATCAAGCTGGCCTCAAACTCACAGAGATCCCCCTCTGCTTCCCAGTTTGTTTCGTTTTGGTTTTATGTTTATTTACTTTTATGATTGAGTTACAGATTCTGAGGAACTGTTGTGAGGGTGCTGCGAGTGGTACCCATCTAGGCCATAAGCAAGACGGGGCAGAGCTCTTCATCACAGATTCATCTCTCCACCCCTCAAACTATAATTTTTTCTTTTAAGCATCCAGTCCTTTTACTGCATCCCTCATTGAGCTTAACACATGAGAGTCCAAAATCACCCTTTGGCTTGTTGTTTCTGTCACATTTGAGTAAGAAAGTGAAGTCTGAAGGTGAAGAACATCTAAAGTCAAAGAGAAAAACACAAGGCTTGATTTAAACATACCACCCTCCAGTCTGAGAAAAGTCATATGCTTTTAGAGTCAATTTTAAGGCTCCTTCCTACAAAGGGATTATTTGGTGGTAAATTTGGAGTTATAGTTTGTCATTCATACTGAGTCTTTAAAGTTCTCAAATTGATTGATCTTAATGTTCCCATGATTAATGTCTCCAGAGAAAGGAGAAAGGTCTCTGTTCTTTTCATTCTGAAATTCCCTTTCAAAATACGTACACTTTTGTCCACTCTGTCCTAGCAAAGCAACTCCAGGAAGAAAGAGTTTATTTTGATATATAGTTCAAGGATCCAGTCTGTCACCTGAAGAAGTCATGTGATGGGAGCTGGAGGCATGCCCCCCCCCCCTAGAGCTGGTCACTTTGCAGTCATGGTTTAGGATGCAGAGGGGATGAAGTCTCACACATCACTTTTAAACTGCTTAGCAAGAATGGCGGAATCCTAGCATTTAGAAAGGGTACTAGAAGTTCAGCTACCTAAACAGTTTGAGTCTAGCCTGAGCTATATGAGACCTGTTATTGGGGAAGCTTCACCTTAGCTGCTGGCATTCATATACCCAGAGTCTTGGATGCCATGGTGGAAGTTCCACCCAAGCCCCCTCCCCTATCTCTCACCAAAACTCTGCTGCATCTCAGCCCGTCAAATGATGACCCCTCCTCCAGAGATGCTCAAGACCACTGCCATAGGGTATCTAAACTGCCTCCCAGAAAATAGACTCGAGGTTTTCCAGTCTCTCTTTCCTGTCTTCTCTTCGGGGGACTGGAAGGCTGTCTGGGAGCATTGTACCCCTTAAATGTGGGCTTTTTCTAATTTGGTTTGATTTGGTCTGATTTGGATTGTTCCATTGGTGGAGAGGTTTATCAGGGTGGAAAAACTTTTCAAGACCTTGTATCAAAACAAACATCTGGGGCTGGAGAGATGGCCCATGAGTTGAGAGCGCTTCTGCTCTGACAGGAGACCTGAGTTTGGTTCACAGCATCTATATAGAGGTTCAGAACTATCCATAACTCCAGTTCCAGGTAGTGGACACCTTCTTCTAACTCCATGGCACAAGGCACACATTCCCTGCACACAGATAAGAAGCAGGCAAAACATCAGACATCTAAAATAATGTAATTAGCCTAGACACTGCAGGGAAGGCATGGGTCCTGCCTCAATATGATGGGAAGACTTCCTTGACTCCCCATGGGAGGCCTTACTCTCTTTAAGAAGCAGATGGGGGGTGGAGTGAGGGGAAGTTGGAGGGAGCAGGGGGAGGGGAGAAAAGGGGAACTAGGATTAGTATGTTAAAAAAAAAAAAAAAAGCATAAAAGCTTTACCACCACAAAAAATAAATAAAATAATGTAATTAAAATTTTAAAAATAATCCTAGCACTTGGGAGGCAGAGGCAGAAGGATCTCTGTTAGTTCAAGATCAGCCTGGTCTACAAAGCAAGTTCCAGGACAGACTTCAAGCTACAGAGAAACTCTTGTCTTGAAAAACCAATAAATAAATAAAAATAAAATTAAAAATTAAATGAATATTTAAAAAGGGAAAGAAGGCAGTTTTGAGGTTTTATTTTTTATTTTATGTGTACAAGTGTATTTCCTGCATGTCTGTGTACCATGGGTGCTGTGCCCTCGATGGACAGAAGTGACTTGGGAACTGATAAATGATGGGAGTGGAGATAAGATTGGCAGTAATCATTGATGGACTAGATAGCAAAGGCAAAAACAATTCAGAAAGTAAAGAAAAAGTAATTTTCAGTTGGGCCTTATGGCCCAGGCCTGTTATTTCAGCCACTCCGGAGGTTGGGAAGAATCTCAGGTTAGGACTTGCCTGGTTATATATAGTGCATTCCAGGTCAGCTAATGTGACTTAGTGATGCTCTGGTTTTCAGCACACTTCAAGCAAGCAAGCTTGCTTGAGAGCTTATGAACACACACACACACACACACACACACACACACACACACACACACACACATTATTCTAAGTTCTCTTCCAGGGTGAGCTCAATATCTTAGAACTAGATTCCTGTATAACTAACTGAGAAAGTTCTGGGACAACAGAGGAAAGAGACTGTACTCTAAAGGACCTTAAGGCATTAGCTGGCATGAGCTGGCAGGAGTTAGAACAATCATCAATAAAGCAGGAGAGCAACTGATCCATGAATACAATTCTGAATCAACTGGTCAGGCACAGTTTCTCCTGGCTCAAGACACAACATCCAAGTGAAAAATCCTAGGAGACAGAAAGGAGGCAAATTCAATGCTAGAATGGCTCTTAGCCAGAGAAAACAACAGCCAATGCTGATCCACACAGAAATACGAAAGTTGTCAAAGCAAAGGAGAGGAAGGGATAATGAGGCCGAAGAAAACAGACCTGGAGGGAGGGAGATTGGGGTGGTTTGAAAAAAAATGCCCCGAAAAGAATGGGGGAGAAGGGCACTATTAGGAGGCGTGGCCTGGCTTGTTGGAGGAATTGTGTCTCTCTGGGGGCCCGCCAGCGACCCCCAGAGAGGTCTCAAGTTTCAGTCAGTGACCCTCAGAGAGGTCTCTTCCTGCTGCCTCTGGTCAAGACATAGCCTGCATCATGTCTGCCTGCACACTCCCCATCTTGATAATAAGGGACTGGAACTCTGAACCTGTTAAATCACCACCTCAACCAAACTTTTTCTTTGTAAGAGTCGCCGTGGTTATGGTGTCTCAACAGCAATTAAAAAAAAAACAGCCAGACTTGGTGGCTCACACCTTTAATTCCAGCACTCAGGAGGCAGAAGCAGGTGGATCTCTATAAATTTGAGGCCAGCCTGGTCTATAGAACGAGTTTCAGGATCGGCTCCAAAACAATACAGACAAACCCTGTCCCTGCTCCAGTGCCTGCATCCAGAACACTGGGATTACAGACTTTCGACACCACAAGTAGCTCAAAAGCCTGTTTGTTTGTTTTCTTTCTTTCTTTTTCTTTTTCTTTCTTTTTTTTTTTCACTGAGACAGAGTTTGTAACATTCCTGTGTAACATTCCTGGCTGTCCTGGAACTCACTGAGATCCACCTGCCTCTGCCTTCCAAGTGATGGGATTAAAGGCATGCTCCATCACCGCCCAGCCAAGACTCTAAATTTGTAAAAACAGGGAGGGGGACTGGGCTTTGGATTTATTTCTTAATTCAGCTGTGTACTATCAGTTATCGACACAGATCAGTAGAACTGGTTTAAAAAAAAAAAAAAAAGGAACCGGTGGAGAGAGGAGGAGGGGAAAGAGCCGGTTTGAGCGACAGGAAGTAGGAGGGGGCATTTACCTGTGAATGAACCTTCAGGTGAGTGAGCTCCAGAAGTCCTCACCTCCGCTGCTTTTGTTTTCTTTGAAGCCTGTGCGAAAATGTCACTCTCCACCTGGGACGCCCAGAACAAGGTAATTTTTCTTTTTATAAGGAATTATTTTCCTCCGGAGTTCTTTTCACGGTCTTTATAGGTATCGGTCTTGTTTCCGGTTTGGGGGAGGAATCGATTCGGGTTCAAAGCCTCCATCTTGGAATCCTCTTTGCTTGTTACTTTTTTTCCACATGCTCGACACTGTGTATTTCCTGGAAGTAAAATGAGACTGTTTCTTAGATGAAATAGTAACCTGTAAATTTATCTTGGACAAGGAGTGTTAGTAACTAAGATAAAAACCTCCAGGAAAGCTGAACTAAATTAAGTAGAAGGTTTTTTTTTTTTTAAGTGGAAATTTTTGATTAAAATGTTTGATAATTTATAGATTAGAAAAGCACATACTTTTAGATGGCCATTTACTTTTCTAATGAGAAGAAGTAAGCAGTTCCCGGTACCCCTAATGTCAGGTGGGTTTCCCATCTAGGCTTTGAGTGGTCCTGGGCTAGATAGGCACCACTGTATCAAGCTACGAGGAGACAGGACTGGTCAGGTCAACTCACTGATGCTTTTAGGCTTTGTTGCCAGAGTGGGGTAATGTCTATTTCTTTTTGTGTGTCTTGTTTTGTTTTGTTGTTGCTTTTTGTTTCTCAAGACAAGGTTTCTGTGTAGTTCAGGCTGTCCTAGAACTCTGTAGAACAGGCTGGCCTCAAATTTAGAAATCTGCCTGTTTTGTTTTTGCCTCCCAACCAAGTGCTTAAGATTAATGGCGTGAGCCACCACCACTGCCTTTTTGTTTTTTGTCTTTTGTGTGTGTGTTTTGTTTTTGTTTTGTAATAAAAGTAAATCTGCATTTGGAGTACTTTTAAAAAGATATTAGACAAATGTAAAAAATCAGGAATTCAAGTTTGGAAGTAAAGGTGGTGAAGAGATTAAAATAGAAATCTGTGGAATGTTCAGAATTTCCTCAAGGAGGTGTCACTATTTTTTTTTTTTGTTTGTTTGTTTGTTTGTTTTTTGAGACATGGTTTCTCTGGTTTTGGAGACTGGGTATATGACTTGGCAAAATAGGACAACTGAGAATTTTCTATAGAAAATTCTTCCACTCCTCCAAGTTCCAGGCATCTTGCTTTGCCAACACAGAGGGAAAATAATTCATTAAGCTTGCCTTGAAAACAAACAGGGTCCCTCACTGCTTCTCTTTGCTTAAGTGTTTTAAAGAAGAGTTTGAAGACGAAATCATTTTAACGCTGGTCCCAGCTACTGAGGAAGAGATCACCACAAAACTACCATCAGAATCCGTTTCTTCAACCATAGACCACGGGCCACCAGGTATTGTCAAATATGGGAGAAACTGTAGGTGTGAGATGGGTTTCCAGAAAGCCAAGAAAAGTAGACTGGATTTTGTCCGACTTAGTTTTTTACTGTACTGCCTTGGCTGGCCTCAAACTCACAGAAAAGTCCCACTTCTGCCTCCTTGGTTCTGGCCTTAAAGGATCAAAGGCCTGCATCACCAGGCCAGGCGGTTTCATCCACCATGCGGTTTCTTAAACCTCACTGTAATTCCCCATGAGGAAACCACCTATCTCAGTTATTGAGCCCTATTTGCTGCCCTGTTTGAGGTAGGAAATAATAGGTGAGGTGTGGTCACACACACATACACACACACCTTTAATCCCAGCACATGGGAGGCAGAGGGAGGCAGCTAGGTCTGAGTTTGAGGCCAACCTGGTCTTCATAGGAAGTTCTAAGACAGCTGGGTTACTCAGAGAAACATTGTTTCGAAGAAGAAAAAAAATATACACTGATAGCTCAGCTGTCTAGAATGCATACTGACACATACACATAATCTCAAAAGAAAGCATAGAATTTAGAATGTAAATTGCTGTCCCGAGTCACGTATTATAAGGGGTGTGTGATCTTGGTCAAGTCAATTCCTCATTTGTAACAGGAAGAAACAGCTTTACGTGCAAACTGGTTTGTGAGCAATCACTTGGTATTATTAAATAGTTTTTGCTTGGTTTCTATTTCTAAGTTCCCCCTACGGCACCTTCTGAGGAGGATAGCAAACCTTCAACACTGAAGCTAAAGTCCCACTCACCCCTGCCGGAAATCCTTCCTCCTATTACTGAGGTGTCCAGGAACACTCTTCGGGCATGGTGTCGCCATCATAACTTGAGTACTGATGGCAAGGTTGGTGCCTTCCCACTGGGATTCTATGCTGTATGGATTATATGTGGATTTTGGTCCGGTTTTAACTATTTTCTCTTACTTTCCGTAGAAAATTGATGTCTACTTGAGACTTCAAAAGGAAGCATATTCAGAACAAAATTGTGTGAGTAATGGATATGGTGATGGAGTGGGCTCACTAAAATTTCTCTTATGGAACCTTCCTCTAAAGCAGGGTTACTGATATTTGAGGGAGCAAATCTGCAGGATTTTTTTTTTGGATTATGTGGGGGGGGGTTGTTTTGTGTTGAGACAAAGTCTAACCATATAAAATGGGCTGCCTGGATCCATATGTGCTGAAATTAAGGATGTGTGCCATCACATCTAGATAGGTCTCCAACTGTCTTAGGCTGCCCTATAACCCTCTATGTATAGCTAAGAAGATACTGAGCTCTAAGTGCCAGGATTACAGACACTGACACTTGAATTGCCAGCCTGCACCACTAGGCTTCATGATTTACTGATTTGAATGTAGTCATACAGGGTTGGTTAGAAGCACCTAAATCCTCTGTATTATGGCTTTTGTTTTGGAAACTGGGTACTATAATTGGGCATTACACAGCTAGGATGCCAGAACTGGGAAGAGTGGGAGGATCTCTCTTGCCACATACATAGTAAGTTCTAGGCCAATATGACTTTTGCCTCAAAACAAAAAGCTAGCTAGGCATGACAGAGACAAGAGGTGGGCAACAAGTTCAAAGCCAGCCTGGGATATATATATATATATATATATATATATATATATATATAGAGAGAGAGAGAGAGAGAGAGAGAGAGAGAGAGACTGGCCAAAAACAAAAAAGCAACAAACAAAATCACCAGCTGGGTGTGGTGGCATTCACCTTTGATCTCAGCACTAAGGGAAGCAGAGACAGGCAGATCTCTGGGGTACCAAGGCTAGCCTGGTACAGAGCTAGTTCTAGCAACCAAAAAATTTCCCCTGTTTAACCAACTCTATGGAGAGCTTTAAAATTGTACTTGATCAAGCCAGTGTGAAACTGGCATAACGAGTCCTTTATGCAAGAGTATTTTTTGAATACTGTTGAATTTCATTTTCAGTATATTCCACAAACATCCCTTGAGGCCAAAATGAAGCCAAAACTCAAGAAGGCTAAAAAAGGAACTGCCAGCATGACCATCAAAAAACCCATGTCTCAAAATATCAAGAGTGAGAAAGAGAACAGCATTGTTGAAGTCATAACATCAGAAAGGGAGTCTGCGTTTGCTGCCTGGGGAAGAATTGCCACAAGATCGGGTCTGCCCAGGGGTGCCAATTGCCAACCTCTTCCCTCTAATGTAAAGTCCTTTCTGCCACCATCTCCTGGTAAGACCAACAGCAAGGTGTGACTTCTACTCTTTAGAAGCATGCTTAGTTAACATCAGTGTGAGCAAGAACTATAACCCATCAGGGGTTAAAATCTGCAGACTAGCCAGGTAGGGTGGTACATACATGTGATCCCAGCACTTGTGAGGTGGAGGCTGGGGGGGGGGGTCAGCATTCCAAGGTCATCATCCTTCACAGGTGAGTTAAATCAAGACCAACCTGGATGTATAATCAAAGACCACGTCACAAAATGAAGTAAATGGCTCAGTTGTTCCCAACCTTCCTAATGCTGTGACCCTTTAATACAGTTCTAATATAAAGTTCCTCATGTTGTGGTGACCCCGACCATAAACTCTTTTTTCATTGCTGATTACTTCATAACTGCAGTTCTGCTACTTTTATAAATATTGTTTTAATCTAATGTGCTTGTCAGCACGAAAAAGGTCTACTTACTTGTCTTTCCTTCTTAAGGCATTCTTAGGGATTGAAAAGGTAGCTCAAGTCAGAGTGTCTGGTGTGTATGTATGTCCTGACTTATTGCTATCACCATGGCTTTGTGGTGTGCACCTGTAATCCCAGCACTTGGGAGGCAGAGGCAGGCATGCTCACCTTGTGGAACTAAGTCAATCAGTCTCTAGTGAGGTCCAGGCCAATGAAGACTATATAGGGAGACCGTGTTTAAAAGAAAGGTGTGTGGCTAATAGTAAATACATTCTTGATATTAATTCTGTTGTACATACAAATATGTAGTTGTACAGCTAGCAACGATTTTTCTTCTGTTTTGTAGGCTTGTCTTTTCAGACTTTGTTTCCTTTGTTATATAGAAATGCAATTGCATGAGATCCAATTTATCAATTATTTCCAGAGTTTGTAGTCTTATTTGGAAAGTTATTCCCTATTCCTGTCTTTAAAAGTGTTCATTTTCCTAACAGAGTCAGGTCTTGTGCTAATGTATTCATTTTAGAGTTGATTTTTGTGAGTGAGGCAGGTCTTCTGCGTGTGACCATCTGATTTTTCAGGAACCATTCAGCAAAGAGTATCATTTGCAATACATATTAGTGGCTTCTGAGTCAAGATCAGTGGCTGTAGCTTCTTGGGTTTATTACTTACAGGTCTTCCTTCTAATGTGCCAGGACCATGCCACCTTAGTTAACTTGGCTCTGTAGTTTATCTTTTTTTAAATTTATTTAACCTTTACGTGCCTTGGGGTGAGGGTATCCGATCCCCTGGAACTAGAGGTACAGTTGTAAGCTGCCACATTTGTGTTGGGATTGCCTGGTCCTCTGGAAATATAGCCAGTGCTCTTAACCACTGAGCCATCTCTCCAGTCCTTGCTTTTGTTTTTAAGACAGGGTTTCTCTAGCTTTAGAGCCTATCCTGGCACTTTGTAGATCAGGCTGACCTCACAGATCCCTACCTGCCTCTGAATCCCAAACACTGGGATTAAAGGCTTGCACAACCACCACTTGGCATATGTTTGTTTTCATACTACCAGAAATGCCCATGGAAGGATACTCCCTTAACCTAGAGGCAGGAGGAAGGGCCTAGTCCCTACTCCAAATGACTTGACATATTTTGTTGACCCCTCCTGGAAGGCATCACCCTCCTCCCTGTGGAGTGGGTGGGTGGGTGAGGGATGGGAGGGAGGGAGGGAGAGGGAACTGGGATACATATGTAAAATAAAAAAAAAAATACATTTGATTTTTAGCAGACCATAAGATAGCAAATTTAAAAGAGTAGCTTACTTGAGAAGTCATGGGTCATTCTGACCTATTTGCTTGTTCCTATTCCACAGGATACAGGTGGTGTGTTGTCCATGGCAGACTGCTCCCAGCAGATAAGATAGGCTGGGTTTGCCTGCAGATGAGCATTGGTCATACCTGGGTTCCAGACAGTTCCCAAAGAATGGTCTCTCTCTTCCTATTACCAGCCTGTGTTTTCCCTACCCCAGGAGTAGAAGATAACCTGCTGTGTCCTGAATGTGTGCAAAGGTAATCCTCCAAGTAGCTTTCTAGGCATGGGAAACATAAAAAGCACATCTAGATGAGTTTCTGAATAACCAAATAAAAACCAGAGAGCTAACACCCTGTTTTCACCCACCCCACCCCCCAGACAGGGTTTCTGTTTAGCTTTGGAACCTGTCCCGGAACTCTCTGTAGACCAGGGCCTCAACTCACATAGGTGTGCCTGCCTTCCCTTAGTGATGGGATTAAAGGTGGGTGCCTTTGGATTTTTACAAACCTTTTTTTCTCATATAGCAATAAGAGGATATTGAGAAATTTTACAAGAAACAGATGCTCTGCAAGGAAACATAAAAGGCTACCTCCAAATTTGCCACCTTAGACCAATGTTTTGGAACTGAACATTCATCCATCCCTGCATTGAACTTGCTCAATGCTATCTTGTTCACGGGGTCCAGAGAACAATTTGGATGCAACGATGTCTTATAACCCTGTCTTCAAGCAACTCAGTGCCTAATGAACTTTAGAGAACCAGAAAGAAGTGAAGGTTCAGAAACCAAGGAGTGAAACAGCATAATATAAAAGCCTGCTAGTCTGTTCTGAACGACACTACTGGCCCTCTGTACTGACTTAAATTTCTGGATTCTAATCTGTATTAAAGACATGCAGATGTATGGTTATTTTCCTTGTTATTCCCTGAACAATCCAGTTCATTGTCCACTTATATTATTATTGTGAGAATATAGAGCTAGGCATGGTACATGCCTATAATTCTAGCACATGGGAGGTAGATTTGAATGCCAGGCCAGCCAGAGTTACATGAAGTCCTGTCTCAAAAGAAGGGGAGGGGGGGGGACGGAAGAATGTGATAAGTGTATACAAATACTTGAGTACAAGTGTATGGGGCTATTCTGGAGCCAGCATGTTAAAAGTAAGACAGCATATAAAGTAATGGACTTTATGAGGGCATTTTCACTCCTTTTTAATATCTGTTATTTATGTGTATACTGTCTCCATATATGCACAGGTACCATGGAGGCCAGAGACTGCTAGAGTCCCTGAAGCTAGAGTTAGAGGCGTTGAGAGGTGCTTAGTGGGTCCTCTGGAAGAGGAGCGAGTCTTATCTGCTGAGCCAGCTCTCCATCCCCTTGAGACAGGCAAGCACAGGGAATAGTTTAGCAACATGGGACAACAGTTTGGGCTACACACCTCTTTTAATAATGCACTTGACTGCCTAGAACCCTCTCCTGCATGTATTGTGCACACACAACCCTTTCTGGACAATGTACCTAGTTATACATTACCAATCTGGAACCTCCTACCACCTCCAAGATGCTTACACATTGTGTGTGTCTGTAAAGGTAAAAGGGCCAGCTTAGGGAAGTCAGTTTCCTTCTCCCACAACATAACGGAGAGATCAAATTTAGAGTCATTTTTGGCAAATGTGCTTTTATTCACTGAAGCGTCTCACAGGCCCCATTTTTGTTTATAAGGTTAGCTTTTCATTTGTGTACCTCAATTCCTTTGTCCTTTCGTTTGTTTGACCTCTAGGCTGTTTCCATCCCCCCCAGCTATTGTGATTAGTGTGGCAGTAAACAGGGATGTACATGTTCCTCTGGTTTGTTGATGTAAAGTACGAGTCACACGGTAGTTTTCCATTTAAGAACCCTCCCTAGTGACTTCCACAGTGACACAGACTGACATTTCCCACTAGCAGTATATAAAGGTGCCCTTTTCCTCTCTCCTCTCTTGCATTTGTTGTCATTTTTCTTCTGGCTGGTAGCCATTCCAACTGCGATGAGTTGGAATCTCAGTTTAGTCTAATTTACATTTTCCCAGTGGTTAAAGATGGTGAACTCTTTCAAGAATTTATTATTGGAGACATAACTGTTGTAAGGCCTTCACTGTAATTTTAACTTTGCGTTAGAAATAACACTTGTCTTTTCAATAGTGTATTTCATCAAGACAGTGATTATGCTGGTGTGTTTCATGGTGTCCAACCAAGTTAATATCTGTAATTCATATTCCATAGAGAATTCTACAAAAGAAGTCTATGGGTGCAATTATCCCTTTACTGATAATTTTGATAGCATATCTAAGAAATTAGAGTTTTCTTACCCTAAACCACATGGTCCTCAGTTCCCTCAGCTATTTCCTGCCTCAACTATTTTCTTCAAGTGATTATTCAAAGGGTAAGTATTTCCAGCTGAGCATTGTAGCTAATGCCTGTAATTTTAGCACTTGGAGGTGAGGCAGGAGGATTACTGTGAGTTTGAAGCTAGATTGGGCTACAATGAGATCACCTTGTCCTACCCCCAACTGAGAGCTTTCCCTGCCCCCAAAGGGTAATTCTATTTCAGGAATGCTCTCTATTGGGTAAATAGCTTCTTTTGGTAAGGTGTTTATTAAATATATCCTAATGTAGGGTTAAGCATGAAGGTTAAGAACAAAAAGGGGATTAGAAAGAATTCAAGACACCTGAGAGCACCAGTGTGGATGCCTCTAATCTCACAAATTGCTTCTGATCCTTCTGCCTCCACTTCCTGAGTGCTGAGTCTTAGGGATTGCAGGTGTGAGCTAGCACACCTAGTGATATCTATGGTGATGGAGATTCCCACCCATGGCTTTGTGCCTGGTAGCCACGCCCACTTACAGCTAAGCCACATCTTCATCAGTACTCCCAGTTCCATCTTCTTGACATCTCAATCTGGCTTTTCATGACCTTTTAAATAGGACAACGTATTTTTTTTTTTTAAATTGTTTTTGAAACACAGATTCCCATGCTTAATTTTCTCACTTCAAAAGCTGCCTCAAGTTTGACATGATGGAGCATGCTTGTAAGCCCTGTACACAGGCGGTTGAGGTATGAGGACATCAAGTCTGACTACACAGGAAATTCCAGGCCTGACTAGACTACCTGAGACAAGAAAGGAAAAGTACCTTCAGCTGGTCTAGTGGTGAACACTTGCAATCCCCACATTTGGGAAACAGAGGCAGGAGAATAGCCATAAATTAAAGGCCAGACTGGGCTCTCTATTGAGGTCTTTTCTCAAAAATGCAAGCAAACAAAAAGCCAGTTGACCCAAGCAAAGCCTGTGTTCAGTTTTTACAATCCCACTCTCATTCTTCTGGGGCTGTTGCATGGCAAGTAGGCTACCAAGAATGACTTGGTTTAAAGTAAAAAGTAAAAACAACATTCTTTCCCAAAAGAAAGAGAAAGAAAAGGATAGAAAAAGAAGTGTGAGAATGTGGCTGGTGGCACACTCCTTTGGTCTCAGGCCTCCGGAGGCAGAGGCAGGTGATCTGAGTTTGGAGCAAGTCTACAATGAGAATTCCAGAACAGACAGGGCCACACAGAGAAATCCTGTCTCCAAGAAGGAAGGGAGGAGGGGGATCACTGGTTAGGCTTGAAAGCTGGGACTAATCTACCATGCCATTCAGGACTTAAACCCTTGGGGGAATCTTTCCATCAAGTAAAGCAAATATTTTCAGAATGGGTGCCTCTTAAGCACCTGATACACCCTGGAAAGAGAGCCCTGTTGGGTTGAAAATGAACTCTAAGAAGGATTAATCACCAATGATAAATGTTCACTGTCCCGCAAGAGCTGGGGGCATTGTGCTATTTTCAGCGAATGCTATCTATCAATGTTGACCCATAATAGAACCCATCTGTTAGCTGGCTTTGAGATCTGCCCGATGAGGTCAGCTGTATGGCCTGCTTGGCTCCAAATTACCACAGAGCTAACGTTTCTGTCTCTGCCACCAAAGTCTTCCTCTGGACATTGCTGCTAAGGCCCAGCCTAGCTTCTTCACCCTAAAGTAAAAGAGAAAGAGAGTGGGGTGTTTCTTCTGTCTGCCTACCAACTCTGTCTGAGAGAACACATTGGCAGGTTTCAATGTCATCAGTTATTGAACACTAATAGCGTTTGGATTTTGTAAACACACTTTTTTGCATCATTAGCAATGTAAGGGCTCGCAGGCACAGGCTCTCATCTTTAGGGTTTTTTTTTTTTTTTTTTTTTTTTTTAAGGTTACTCTGAATGTCTAAACAAGTTGTACTCACTTAAAGGGCATATAGTAGGTGACAAAACTGCAATGAGAATTGAGAGGAAACTAAACAACTTGGGTGGTTGAGATGGACCAGTGGGTAAAAGTGCCTAGGCTACCAACCTGAGTTTGATCCCCACAACTCACATTGTAGAAGACTCAACGTTTTCTCTGATCTCCACACTCACTTATTGGCATGTGCATGTCCCCAGTAAATAAATGTAATAATAAAAAAATTAGGTATCAGTCCAGCCTTTGTCCCCCATCACCAGGCCTTGGCTAGAGGTGAGTCTGGGACCAATTCGGGTGGACCCTTCCCCCTACACCCTTCCCCGGGAACTTCCCTGGGTTGGTCCCTGATCTCGCTGCCCCTGTGTCCTGTCCACATTGAGAGCACTCTTGGAGCTCTGATACACCCCCATGCACCCATACATGAGAGCCTACCCTTCCCCTACCCTGTGCCCTACCCTGCCCACTGTCCCACCCCTCTGGTTGAGCACTGGGACAGAGGGTGGAGCAAACAAGCCAGGCACCTTCAGGGAACTTCCTGGAGCTGCTCTGAGCACATCAGACCTGCCTATCCACGTGGGACCACCCGTTATTTCTGCCTGCCTGGTCTCTCACCCCCAATGCCTATCCTCTACTGGAGTTCCAGGCCCCTACCTGAGATCCTCCTATCTCTGCGGGGCCTCTCTAAGTTCCTGCAGGCTGGATCCTTGACCTGAGGCCACCACCTCCATCACAGGGCCTCTGCCAAAGAGGCCTCAGCTGGAGAGTGCCAAGTCCAGGCTAGATCTACCTATAAGTTTAAGGAACAGCCTGATTCCCAGCCTTTGAGATCTTTGACTCCTATCACCAGTCTTCTGCTAGAGTCTGATCGTTGACCCCCATCCCTGGGTCCCTACCTGTGGAGAGACCTCCTAGAGAGCTGAACCACCCAGAGCTATAGACATCGAACCTCTGACCCACATAAGCCCACCAGGGAAGTACCAGAGAGAGAGAGAGAGAGAGAGAGAGAGACCCCACCAACACCGACTGGAAGAAGCTATGGGAAGACAGCAATACAAGAAAATGCCTAACAACAGAAAGACAAGCATGACACCACCAGAATCTAGGGAATCTACACCAACTAGACGCGAACACAACAAAGGACATGAAGTAGAAGAGAATGACTTAAAAATTATCATCATAAAAATGATAGAGGCCCTCAAAGAAGATGTGAGAAAATACCTTAAAGAAATGGAAGAAAAAACAAACAAAAAACTTGGAAGAAATGAAGAAAGTTCTTAAAGATAATACAGAAAGCCAAGAAAAAAACAAACAGGTGAAAGAAACAGT